GGGACGTCCGAAATCTGGACGCGGACGATCGTGTCACGGTTCTCGAGGTCTCGAGGTTCTCGAGGTGGATATCCTTTGGCCGCTTGACATGCTCCATGCACACACCTCTAGCTCGATTTGGTCCTGTAGCAGCGCACTCTCTCTCCCTCTCGCCGCTAGCCCACGCTCCCCCACCCACGCACGCGTCCTCGCACCCCCCCACACACAGGCACGCTCACGGCCAAGGAGGTGAACCACATCCTCAAGATGAAGAACCTCGAGCACGAGTTCCCCTTCTTCACCACCGTCTACAAGATTAGCTACGAGGACGCCCCCTTCTCCGCCCTCACCGAGACGCCGTACTAGACGCGCGCCACGGTTTCTCTCTGATCGCCGCGCGCACCCCGGGGCGCCCCTATTCGCAACTCCTACCGCTCTGTGCCTCTCTCTCGTTCCATAAACACGTTCGTTCGCTCCTCTGTATTGTGTGTGCATGCTGCATTTTTACTCTGCATTGCATGCTGTAATTTGTGCGAACAACCCTAGCTAGATGCTCGCAGCACCAACAGGCGCAGCAACCCCGGCCCAACGAGTCGCCCGAGGGGTGGACGAGGGTCGGGAAGGGCGGCAAGCCGGACAGGTTCACCATGAAGAACTTCGGCCGCAACCCGCCAAAGTCGGGCAAGCGGAAGCAGGAACACCGCAAGCCCGCACCCAAGGGAGGTGGACCCCCACCCCCTTCTCCCAAGGTGGTGGACAAGAACAGGCTGAGCGCATTGGGCGCTGGCCCTTCTGGCACCAGCGGGAGCCACGAGCGCGCACCGCCGCGCTCTCCCTCCCCCACCTCGCCGCCTGCCAAATCGCCGCGGCCGTCTGCGCCTGCTTCCGGGTATGACTCCGAGCTCGAATTTTCCGACGCTGAGGCGCGGGATAGGGTGGCAGGGGTTGTGCACGACGCAGTGCAGCAGGCTGTGATGCAATATGGCTATGACGACGAGCTCTACCAGGCATGGAGGGACGGCAAGATAGGCGAAAAGGACTTGCCGGAGGAGGTGATGGCTATGACTTTGGACCTTTGCGAGAGGTGGCGAGCGGAGCAAGCGCGGTGTAGGCGCGCCCACGCGGCGCAGCGGCTCTCCCGCGACCATAGCCCCTCCCGCAGCCGCAGCCGTAGCCGCAGCCCCAACTCTTGCTGCTCTTCTAGTGTCGGGTAGTGACCAGGGGGTGAGGGGACGGATTGAAGATCCCTCACACCAAGATCGTGCAGGGCGGGGACACATGTCCCTAAATCCCATCTCGTCTCAGAGTTTGACCGTTTTTATTTATTTATTTATTTCACCTACCGGTACCGCGGGACGCCGTGTACCGTGGGGCCTTGTTGTCCTAGCACGGGAGTACCGTGTGGACCCGGGAGGTAACAGCAGCAACTACCGCGGGACGCGGGGAAAAAGAAAGAATGAAAAGACGCAAAGCAAAGGAGGGATGGGAGAGGAGACAAGGTCGCGTGCCCTGTCGCCTGTTTGTGTTGTTCCTGCTGTGTTGTTTCATATGTTTGTGCCCTTGGCACCGTGGGTGCTGGGGGGGGCGACAGGGGCATGGTCAGGGGCCGGGCGTGGCCCTGAGTAGGAAGCGCAGACCGTAGTGCCGTACGCTTACTCGGGATTGTGTGGCAGCCCAGCTTCGTTGGCTGAGTGAGTTTGTGTGTCTGTGTGTCGTCCTCTTCTGTCCCGCGTCCACCCATATCGCGTAGGTGTCCAGTCCGAGCCAGACTGTTCTTCACCTTTCTCTACCTAACCTAACCTAAGCCTGTGGGCAGTGCCGCCGCCAGGCCGCCGCCACGACGCCGAGGGTGCGCGACCGCTCCCTTGCGCACATCCTCGCCTCCGTCGGTGAAGACCTCCTCCGCCGTCCGTGACGCCCATGGATGCGAGCTTCTCCACAAACACTGACAAAACAAGCCGGGGATCGATCACAGTCCATGTGGAAAGAAAGAAAACACACATGTTTCTCTTGAGAAGACAGAAAACAGAGAACCCAAACGAGGGATGGCGATGGGACGAGGACAGGGTCCCCACCTGCACGAGCAGGATCTTGGAAGGAGACGATCAGGGACACAGGGGAACGGGAGTGGGGAGCGCATCCTAGCGCATCGCGACACGGAGGGGGGCTGGGTAGGGCCCACACGACAGGGTCCCAGGGATTCCCCTCTCGTATAGGACAAAGTTGCACCCGGCGGCACGGGGGCAGGCGCGGGCCTCCTACTGGTTGCGCTCTCCTAGTTCTCCTCCTTCTGGCAAGGGACTCCCTTTTCTCTTAATAAATAAATAGAGCAGATGACATCTCCTGGAGGGATGGGCTACGCAGGAACCGCGCGTCTCTTTTTTTTTTACCGCGCGCGAAGTCTTACGGCGCCTGTGACAGCACGTCCCAGACCGCGATCGTATCCGATCCGCGGTGCCGCCCGCACCGCTTCCGCCGCCGCCCTCACCTCTGTGCTCATGCAACCGGCCGCCGCAAAAAAGCTGGCGGAGCTGCAAGAGCTCACACGCCGTCAGGCCGAGCTCGTCGCGGCCATCCTCCAAGACTGCGATGGCGGCGGCGGGAGAGCAGAGCCGGACGAGGTGCGCCAGAGCCTCGACAGCGCACTGAGCGAGGAGCAAAAGCCCGTGGATGACGGGCAGGGCGGGTGCACCGCCGCTCCTGCTGCTGTGGCGGAGGCGGAGGAGGCGGAGGGGGAGTCGAACCTGCACCAAGTGCTGCGGAGGTGCTCTACTCGTGCAGCTGTCTCAGCTGTCGCCGCCGCTCCCGAGTCGACGGCTGCGGCGGCAACCCGCTCGAAGGCGCCTCCTCCTCGGTCGTCTCGCACGCCGCCGCCGCGGGCAGCCTCGCGCGCCTTCTCGATTGCCTCGTCGCCAAACTCCTCGGCACGGCTCCTCCCTCCCGCACCAGCCACGCCCTATCGCTGCACGCTCTGCGCTCGCCGCCTACTCTCGTGCGCGTGCTGCCTGCTGGCCGCGCCGTGGACAGTGTGGTCGCTCACGCTGGGGCAGCGCAGGGCCGAGGTCCTCGTCCCGCACTCGACGCCGCACGAGCTGTGGCGGCTGCTCGTCATGCTGGGCGTCGCCTTCGTGGCGGTGGTCGTGCCGCTCGAGATCGCCTTCGACGACCACTTCCACCCAAAGCTGCCGTGGGCGGTCGCCAACGTCGGCTTCGACGTGATCTTCCTCGTCGACGTGTACGTCGCCATGCGCACGGGCTACTACCTCGACGGGATGGTCGTGCTCGAGCCCGCCGCCGTCCGCTCGCACTACCTGCACACGCGCTTCGCGCTCGACCTCTTCGTCGCCGCCCCCTTCGCCTGGTTCGTCGGAGGCGACACTTTCGACGAAGACAGCGACTACCACTCGGGCACGCCGGCGATCGTCCGCGTGCTGCGGCTGCTGCGGCTGGGCCGTGTGGTGCCGAAGCTGATCCGCAACGACCTCGCCAAGATCCGCCCCTCCACCTCGTGGCTCCACTCCCACGTCTCCCTCGCGCTCGAGCGGCGCTTCGGCCATGCGGCCGGCCGGGTCGCGCAGCTGTCGGCGCTGCTGCTGATTGCGTGCCACTGGAGCGGCTGCCTGTGGTGGCTGGTCGGCACGACGGGGTGCAACATCTTCGACGACGACCCCGCCGCGTGCGATGACGGGTGGGGTCCGAGCTCCGAGCTGCAGGCCGCGGGACTGCGGGACAAGTACGCGGTCGCCTTCCTGTGGGGCGCCTCCCTCATGACCTGCCTCGTCCCCTTCGACGTCGAGCCGACCACCACCGGCCAGGTCGAGGCACAGCCGAGAGGTGGCCGAGAGGCGGCCGAGAGGCGGCCGAGAGGCACAGCCGAGAGGTGGCTGAGAGGCGGCCGAGAGGCACAGCCGAGAGGTGGCCGAGAGGCGGCCGAGAGGCACAGCCGAGAGGTGGCCGAGAGGCGGCTGAGAGGCACAGCCGAGAGGTTGGCCGAGGGTCGAGTAGTTCAGCTGTGCGCCGACGGCCCTCTCTCCCTCTCTCTCTCTCTCTCTCCGGCACAGGTCGCCCTCACCGTCGGAGGACTCTTCGTCGGCCTCTTCATCAACATTGTCACCATCGCCGCGGCGACCGCAGCCCTGCAGACGCTCGACGCCAAGCGCGGCCACGTCCTCAAGCGGCTCGAGCTCATCCAGAGCTTCCTCGCGCGCAGCGACGTGCCCGAGGGTCTGCAGCGGCAGGTGCTCGACTTCTTCACCTACCGGCTCTCCTCGTCGCAGCAGGCCATGCACGAGATCGGCTCCGACCTGGCCGGGCTCCCGCGCGAGCTCTCGCTGCGCCTGACGATGGCGCTCTACGGCGACCTCCTCCAGCACTGCCCCTTCTTCCGCCCGCTCTCCTCGTCGGCGGTGGTGGCGCTCGTGCAGCAGCTGCAGCCGATGGTCTGCATGCCCGGCCAGCTGCTCGTGGAGGTCCTCGGCCGGCGGGTGCGGGCGCGAGACCGCCCGAGCTTGCCCGAGATCACCCGAGATCGGCCGCGCGTGTAGGAGGGGCGGCCCGTCGACACGCTCTACCTCGTGCGGCGCGGCACGGTGCGCGTGTGGGTCAAGTGGGGCTTGCCCGAAGAGCGCACCCTCCTCGCCACCCTCGGCGACAACGACTTTTTCGGAGAGCGGGCACTCGAGGGCACCGACGGCCGCACGGCCTCCGCGCCGCCCGTCGCGCAAGCCACCGCCGAGTGCGCGACGTACTGCGACCTGCTCGTGCTGCCGCGCCACGTCTGCAAGGAGGTGCTCGCCGCAGAGCGACAGCGGGTTCGAGCGGGCCGCCACAGCCTAGGCCACAGCCAGCCAGCCGCGGGCCGGGCGAGCTGCGGAGGAGGCGGCTTGCGCCGCTCTTTGTCCACATCGCCACCCGTGTTGCTCGCACAGCCGCCCCCGGACGCCACGGCGCTCTCGACGGCGCTCTCGGACGAGAGGTCCGCGCTGGAGAGCCTCGAGGCGCTACGCCGCGGGACCACGAGCCGGAGCTCGCTGGAGCTCGCTGGAGCTCGCTGGAGCTCGCTGGAGCACGCAATCGTGCAGGCGTCGCGCTCCCCCGCCCGCGCAGAGCACGCCCCCCCCGACGGTGCGGCGCCGCTCCCGCTCGTCCCCGCGCCGCTGCCGCCGCCGGCTGTCGAGTCACTGACGGCCCCGTCGCACGCCCGGCCGCGCCCGCGCGCGGAGGGCTACTCGAACCTCTCAGAGTGAGGCGCCGGGGGGCGTCGTGGGTCCGTGTGCAAACGAGCTTGCCTCTCGTGTGTCGCCGAGGAGGTGGGGACAAGTACACAGTCACACCACCACGACGATTTGGGTCTCAACTTCATGTACGATGTAGCTCGACGGCTCTTCAACGGCTCTTTCTGGGTGAATTGTCAGACAGTGCTATCGCAGTCAGCAACGCACGTGCCGAGAGCAGGGCGGCCTTCGAGCAGGCCACTCTGGGGCTGGGATGGCGCGCACGAGGAGGTCCGTGGGGAGGGTCGAGGAGGCGGACGGACGGCGGCGTGTCCGGCGAGCGGGCGGCGGCGGTGGCAGCGGCGCCGGCGAGGCGGTGCGAGCGGCGGCACGCCGGGGTAGCCATCGCGAGAAAAAGAATTAAAACAAAGTGCGGGCCGCAAGGGCTGACTAGCGGATGAGAGAGAGAGAGAATTCTTGATACGAAACCACGACGACACACACCAGTCGACTCGCATCGGTTGCCTCCATGAACGGCGGAGCTATTCTCGCGTCCACACCACACCTGGCTCCAACGTGGACACGCCCATAGCTGGGGACACTACTAGGTCACGCATGGCATCAGAAGTTTTATCTCTGGGCCCCGAAAGGCATCTCTAGCAGCGTCGTTACGCATGCGCCCTCCCCTCCTCTCTCTCTCTCTCTAGCGGATGCCGTTGCTTTTTCCATCGGGCGACCCGGAGATACGCAGGTACTTAGGTACACTGCCGCTCGATTGTGACAGGCCCGAGGTCCGAGCTTGGTTGTGCTCGCTGCGTGCCGCTGTCGCCACCATGTCGCCACCCCTGAGGCTCTGCTACGGTCTGCTCCTCACCCTGTTCCCACCCGCGCTCGCGGTATGCGCCGACCTTGCCGAAGTCGCAAAAAACCAAAGCGCATACTCCTGCGTCGGCGACAAAGC